GAAACTGACATATTCAGTGTGTCACATTTGCCTATGTGACACAAAACAAATGTAGATTTAGGAAGATATTTGAGAATTTATGAAAGAACCAAGCAATGGTTAGTTTAAGAAAGTAGCCATGCTGAAAAATTGAAAGAGAGACACTACACACACACACACGTATTTATATATATATAGGTAAGTGATTTGAGACAATAACTTTTCAGTACACCCTTGAAAATATATATACATTGCATGTATATATATATATATATATATATATATATATATATATACAGTGTAACCCGGATATAAGAGTTATTTGGGACTGGAGAAGTCTCTTAAATCGGGTTTCTCTATATCCGGGTTTGGTCTATCTTGTTTCAGTAAGTATGGGCTCTAATTTGGGACCAGATAAAATCTCTTATATCAGGTTTCTCTCTTATATCGGTTACACTGTATTATAATTTCAAGTTTAATTTTTATGATTAATTTGAATTGAAGTTTTCAGTTTTGAAACCTGAAATTTTTCATATTCTTGATGATAATATATTTTAAAAGTAATTATAATATTATGGTCTACTGTTATATCAAGCACTGTTTTTTAAAAATAAAATAAATACTAAGGACTCTGAATTATAAATCCTAGATCTTTCCCTATTATTTTAATACACACACACACACACACACGCACACACACACACATATATATATATATATATATATATATATATATATATATATATATATGGGGGAATATATATAGATTTTATGTATCATAACATTAAGCAATGGTATGACAAAGTAGAAAACATGTTTTTTGTAGTGGGTTTCATCCTCTAGAAGGGCTTCATCAAACTAAAGTAATGTTCTTATTGATATAATTATATATGTGAAAGTGGAAGAGATAGACATATGTATAATTCCATCAATGAGAACCTTATTTTAGTCTGATGAAGTCCTTCTAGAAGATGAAATGCCTTATTCATAATTTTCCAATGTGTTACCACAGAACACATGAAACTCTGAGTAGTGGATTTTGATAAAGTATTTTAATATTGTATTAATATTATAATATATTATATTTAAGCTCTGCCATTGTGGCATTGAGCCATCTGTTTATTTTATATTTTAAGCTTTTGGCTTACTTTAGCTTTAGATATATTTAATATATATATATATATATATATATATATATATATATATATATATATATATATAATTAAGTCTTTGATTGTTTTTGGATGTGGTTGTGACTAAATTTTTATGCTGAGTTTAGATAAATTCTTTTCAGTTGTATTTGTGATAGCATTTAATTTTGGTAGGGGAATATTATTTTTTTTGATTTGTTGGTTTTGTCAGGAAGGATAACTCTTCTATTTTGAATCTATTATAATTATTATTATTTATTTATCGAATTTATCTAAACTCAAAATATATATATATATATGCTGAACTCTCCCATGGTTTATTGACGTATGAGGGTCAATCAACTCAGTTCCTAGGAACTGACAGCCAGACACCAGCACATGATTTGATACACTTTTTGAGGGGCCAAATATAGAGACTTGGTGCACTACGTGCCACAAGGTCCCCAAACAACCCTCTGCAGGTTTGAATTCAGAGTTTTCCTTCTCCTAGACCAGTTGACATCCAAGGTTATAGAACCTAGTCTGTCCTGCCATTTACCCATAGCTGGAGGGAGAAGAAGAAGATTCATACCTTTCCCAAGGGTAAAGTAAGTGAATGTAATGGATTCAAATGGAAATCAAACTCGGCTTTAATATCTGCCTCATCAGACCAAAATTACAAAATGGTTTAAATTTATCCAGACAATTTATTAGAAAATATTTAAAATTTAAATCACAAGATATTGTCCTTATTTTTAAAATTATTTCAGATTATTGACTGAGAATGGAATTTTCAAGGTTTGAACTCTGGGCCATCATGAAAGTTCCTGTACGTACAGAACAAGAAGAAAACCCCAAAGAAAGTCCATGAGTTGATGATACAAGAAGTCATCATCCTCAACTGTGAAGATGTGTTGCTGCAGCATTGAGCATAGGGAGATTTTTAGCAGTGTCAGCTCCTGAAAATGTTGATCATATTCATCACCCAATTTTAGCTGATCAACAAGCCTTGACCAAAAGAATTGCTGAAACACTAGAATTATCCAGGGAATGCATTGGGTTCATAATTCATAAGCAGTTGGGTATGCAAAAGCTGTTAACCAAAGGGGGTGCCAAAATGTTTGAATGTTAACAAGAGAATGGATAGTGATCCCTAAAGTGCATTTGCAGACTGTTACATAAAGTCTAAGTGATATGTGTCTGAGGTCCCCGAAGGAGTACTTTTAAGCAAGCTAATGTACCAATAGTTGAGTTAGACTACCATCTCATCAATATTAAATGGGTATCTATATATATATATATATATATATAGAGAGTAATCTATGCTATCTATGTAGAAAGAAAAGAGACGTGTGTATGTTTTCATATTTACATGTCTATCAAAGTTATCACTGTCTCTATTTTTGGTATCTCCCTCTCTCTCTCTATGTATATATATATATATATATATATATACTGAAGAGAGAGAGTGCAATATGGCAAATTTTTGCCATTTTATATTTTTAATTTTGCACATGCACATTGTTTGTTTTTGATTTTGTTGACTGCATAGTATAGTAGGTTCTGTTGTGCACTGTCTGTGAGAAAAAGTGCACCATGATGCAATACATCCGCCAGAAATTCTGAAACAGCATGTTGTACTGTTTGGCATTCAGATAAGAAGCTCCAATACAAACATTTCAGAGTGTTTGGGTATTAATCTGAGAACAGTGTAGAGGATTCAGAAAGAGTTAGATGAGTCGAAAGGTGATCATGAAGCTATTTGGGGTGATCACTAGTGATGGTGACATTATGCCTCCATTCATCCTCCCACAGGGCCTCAGACTCAACATGGAGTCCAACATCAAA